AAGAGATGGCCAGGGTTGTGATGAATGGGGAAGAGTTTTAGCGGCCATACTGGATGAGGAAGAGGAAGAGGAAGAGGAAGAGTGCACTCCAGAAGAGCTGGCTGGCAGAGGAGAAGGCGAGGAGCCAAGTGAACTGTGATAGAAGTGTCGTTTTGCCCAGCCACGCATCCCTGAGCTGACAACTTCCGGGGAAGTTCCCGAGCCAAGATTGCTGGCCGAGAACGAGTTGATCGGAAGGGCGGCTTCACATGGAGACAGTAAAGAAGACGAAAACTGTGGATTTGCCAAAGAGAGGTAGGTAGGAACGGATGAACAGACAACAGGAGTTGTTGTGGTGGCCAGATCCGCCTTGACGAGAGCCAACGGAACGCCTGATGACAGCAAGAGGGAAGGATTGGTGAGACATTCGATGCTGAGCGGAAAAGATAGGACCTGTAGGAGAATGGCAATCGAAATGCCAGGAATTAGGAATAGCTTGGCATATCTACGAAAAACTGTAACTACAGGCAAAAGGATAGCTATGACAGCATTAGGATGTACTCATGCTATTTCGTTTAGTCTGATAAAGAAAAAGTAGTCAGATTTTCCCACAATCACATAATAGCCTATATTGCCAAAAGGAATTCTCATTCAGGGCAGATTGTCTCGTGGTTCAATGGCACTATTAGAGGTGTCGAGATGACATGCTGCCCTACCATAAGTCGGGCTCGAGTCCCTCTGGTGGCATGGATAAGACGATTTTAGACGAGGTCGAAACAGCAGTTCACTTCAGTCTAGTTGAGATTAACTTTTGAGAAGAAAGGCTATTATGTGAAATTCAATGAAAACGTGAAAACTTGGAAAAATTCAATTACCAGTCCTTCATCAGCATGATAGAAAAAGGGCAAATACATCTCTTATATATATATATATATGTGTGTGTGTGTGTGCGTGTGTGTGTAGCTAGTACTCACTTTTATGTTTATCACATCGAGCGTTTGTGATGGAACGTTTTTTCTACATATTACAGTTTTTTATTGTTAAAATGTTACTTTTTCATTAGATTATATATTTTGTTTGGGCTGTATATATATGATCTACTGGTAGTTCTTAAATAAAAATTCTTATACAGCCCAAAAAAAATATATAATCTAATGAAAAAGTAACATTATAACAATAAAAAACTGTAATATGAAGAAAAAACGTTCCATCACAAACACTCGATGTGATAAACATAAAAGTGAGTACTAGCTACACACACTTTTAGTAAACTTAAATTAGCAAAGGCGGCTTTCGCAAAAAAATAATTCCCTTTATGCAACTATATCAATAAAAACGAAGTTGTTAAAAATGCATTATTGCCTTGATTGTATTGAAACTAAAATTTGTTCGAAAGGATTGGTGTAGAAGATTTGTGAATTGGCATCACCCTAAGTGGAAGCATAGCTGGCTTACTGATTTGTACAGGGAAAAGCTGAGCATAAAATCCCAAAAGTCACAAAGGTAAGGAAATCAACTTTTGTTTGCAACTAAAACCAATCTACAAATCTTTGTGACCAACTTTTAAAGCGAAATGAAAGATCCGATGACATTTCTCCCTAGATTACGCATGACAAGTGTCATATTTTGCTGTAAGTAGAAGGCAATTTAAAAAACTCGACGCATACATGTGGAGTTACTAGTTTTCGATAAATCTCTTGGCTATTGGTGCAAACTTCACTTTCATTTCGAGTTAAGGTGTTCCATGAGGAAATTCATGGGTAAATCCCATCAGATGACGGTTTTTCTGGTACCTTCAAGTTGACATATCTCTGAAGCCACCTTTCTTTTGCTGCGATAAAGAAATCTTGGATCTTGACATCTATCACACGAAAGACATATCAGGGAAAAGACGCATTCTTAAGTGCCTCGCAAGCTCATAACAAGTTACCCAAACTTTCCGGCTATTCTTACTTTGCTATATTTACGTAGAAATCAGAGTAAAGAGCAGGTGTATACGTACGGATGTGCAAATATCCCGAAAAATCAGAAGAGAGATTAGAAATTTTTCTCCTTATACTGTAAGGGTTTGAAGACCTTTTATAACTACCCAAAGGAGGCGCATCACTCCAATTATGCAACTAATTTTTTTAGCCTAAGCGCAGAAATTGTTGCGCCAATCGTAACCAAGGTCGAGGATATATGAGTTGAATGGCCTTTATTTGTATGTTCAATGGAACTACGACATTTTATTCGATTCTGCCCATCTTCAAAGAAGAGCATAACTCTTCATCCAAACAGGAATTCCATAAAATAGTATGTTTATGCGCTCAGTAAGTAAGCATGCAGTAATGGTGTAAAATCATTTTGCTGAAAAATAAAAGATGCCTTGACGTGAGGAATGAGGATAAGAAATCAAGCAAGAACCAACTAAACTCGATTGATAGACTAACGCTGATTCAGCCCTACTTTTTCCCAGTACAAGTGTTACTTTCATTAAACTGCATTCGAAAAGACTACTTGCGAATATCGCTTATTCAT